ACCTGGACCCAAGAAGGAGACCACCGTTTTATGAAGGTGGGCGGGGTAATTGAAATTCCACTGGAGAGCCTAGGAATCCCCTGTGTGTTTAATGATCCACAAAGTCATTGTCAATCTAGCTAGAAGCCCTGATGTGGGGGTGACAAAGAATAATATCATTGCTACCTCCCCACCCCACCCCTACCATAACTGGTGCCGATTAAACATTGCACCTTAGCCTAGAAGTGACCCACCTTCCTCTCAGTCCTCCACACAAACCTCTGAACACTTCCACCCTTTCACTCTGTTACCCGCTATGAACCTGTTTTCCATCTTTGCTGATATCCCTGTCCTAATGGAAGACACAGAAAACTGCCCAGAGCAGACCATCCTCAGGAATAAAGGCAAGATGTGAGTGAGCAGAGCAGGTCAGCTGGTACAAGGAGGGTAACCTGCTTTATATTGTCATCTACCAAATGATTCTTGGATAAAAGATAAAACACTTAATGAACTCTGAAAGCAAAATTGCATTATCCCTTCATTTCCATCCCTAGGACTGATGTTGAGAGGCCAAGGCTCATAGCTTGGTCAGTAGTGTGTGGTTTCTTCTGCAGACTCTGGGTTTTGGTACTCCCTAAATTCAAATGGAGTCATCATTTTATCAGAACAGTAAACAAGCTATGTGCCTGTCACCTAATTATCCAAGCACCTGCTTCCACTCAGTTCTGTGCTATGGCATGGGCTCCAGCCTAACGCCGTACCATAGGAGGCTTGGTTGTGTATGTTTCCTAGTTTAAATGGTTCTACCAAAGGGCACGCCGCAAACACACAAGTGTTTGTATCACAAGTTTTGGTATCTTGAAATTGAAAAGTGGAGTGATTCATGAGTTTTGAATCAATTATTAAACAGCCCTAGATGAAGCTCTGCAGAGATGGATGAGGCAGTATCGTATTCCCGGGTACACCAACTGACTGAGCAATGATAAATGAGTCAGGAAACCCGGAAGTTCAAAACAAGCATTAACTTGAGCTATAATGGCTTAGGCCCTAATGGGAGGTAGACAATAGCTTGGTATAAACCACCTCCAATACAGAACAGCTGGCTGCTGGGATTAAAATAATGGTAAGATTTTAGCAAGAGGACTAAGGAATGAGTCACCTGGTGCCAATCACTCTTTCTCTTACAAGGTTCCTGAGGAAGACATAGCGCTGAAGAATGATAGCACTTGGAAAACAAAGGGGACATTTTCATACCCTGCCTAATACCCCATCATGCAGAATTCTAATAATACTGGCTTAGATGATGTGTCTTAGATTTACATTTGAATCCTACCAGGTTTTGGCTTGTATAGATCTTAAAGGGAGAGAAAAGACACTTTCAAAAAGTCCAGGCAGAAGGCCCATGTATATGTCATCCCTGGGAAGGCAAGTTTTGTTGCCCTTAGAGTGACATTTTTTTTTTTTTGGCATGGGCAAGCCAAGGGTTCACATTGGGAAAAGCCACCTCACTCTTTCTTCTGATATCCAGTTTCACAAAAAAGAAAAGCACATCCTTTAGTTCTCAGTATGAGGGCCCCCAGCCCACGCCAACTCTGAGGCTCTACATTGATATTGCTGTCCAGGACCAGCCAGGTGTTGTGGTGGTTAGGTGGCTGGATCCCACGTAGCCGATTGTGCAGTTTGAGTCTTGGACCCACCATCTTGAAAACCATACCAGGCACGTGTATGCCCAAAATCCTGAGAGGATACTAGAGAAGTGATTGTGGTTGTGGTCATCCTCCCTGTGGGAGAGGGGGAGTGATTTCTCATTTGCGTGCTCTCTCTCTCTCTTGCTCTCTCTCTCATAAGTGCACACACTCTTTAGCATTTTTGTTTTTGTTTTTGGAGAGGTTTTTTTTCGCTATAGGGCACATGTGCTCACCAAACAGACAGAGAGAGACAGAAAGACAGAAAATGAGAAATCACCCCCCAGGGGGGTTGGTCACGCCACAGTCCCTTCTCCTCCATTCTCCTCCTGGGATCCTGGGCACGCACGCATACGCGCCCGGAGTGAGTTTGAAGCCACCGGGTCCAGGACGCGAACCGCGGTCAACTACGTGGGAGTCCAGCAACATAGCCATTACACTAACTTTTTTTTTTTTTTTTTTTTTTAAGTAAAGATCATAGTCGCCCAGAGGATGAGTATAAACTGCAAGTAAGCAGAACTAGTTAAGCCCTAAGACCTGAGCATTGTTAACCCCAGGCTTGGTCTCCCTAACATCCTTTCACGACTCCTGCTGTCCTCTCCTATCTGAGAAATACTAGTGTTTGAGCAGTGGGAGAGCCTTGAGTCATTCCTTGGTACCTGACAGGCTACACGTATAAAGCAACAGATGTGCCCACTTCAGATTCTACCTGAGTCAAAAAGCTCCACAAAAATCCTTTGCTAACCGCTCATTGAAAAGCTGGAAGCAGTAACTCATGTTAGAAGTGTATCCTAGCATTCAGTGCTTCTCCGTCAGGGCAGTCTGAGGCAACTGCAGGTGTTAACCAGTCTTGTCTCTTCTGAACATGAGAGGAATGGCTGAATGCACGCTGAAACTAGGAAAGGGGCTCACTTAATTCACTTGAGATGGCTCGTCTCCAGCCATGCTGGACTTCCTTACTCCTCAACTCGTGGGCACTTTTTATATAGATGGGCCTTCTACACTGATATTAAGAGCTTAACAGCCACATACCCTATTTTATTTCCTTAAGGTAGATTTATAGGAAGGGTTTTTCTAAAGATTTTTTTAAAAATCCTAGATTTCCAATTTAGAGCACTAGTAAGGAATGGAGGGGCCTTTTCTGAATGAAGACTCAGTAGACTAGAAGTAATAAGAGTGACAAACACACAAGATTTTTTTTTTTTTTTTTTGGAGAGGTTTTCGCTATAGGGCGCGTGCGCTCGCCAGACAGACAGAGAGAGACATAGAGACAGAAAGCGAGAAATCACCCCCCAGGGGGTATGGTCACGCCGCAATCCCTTCTCCTCCATTCTCCTCTCGGGATCTTGGGCACGCACGCACACGTGCCCGGCGTGAGTTCTAAGCCACCGGGTCCGGGACGCGAACCGCGGTTGACTACGTGGGAGTCCAGCGACATAGCCATTACGCTAACTGCTGGTTCCCAAGATTATTTTTATAACTTTCATGGAGTTTAAAAAAAAATTAATTGCAGGCCAGCAGGTGGCATTGAGGTTTAAGTAGGTTGTATCCCATATAGCCAACTGCATGGTTCAAGTCTTGACCTAACAGCTTGAAAACCATGCTGGATGCATATCTGTACCTGCCCAAAATCCCAAGAGGAGAATGGAGAAGGGATTACAGCTTGGCTATCTCCCCGTATAGGGAGACATATCTCTCTCTTTCTCTCTCTCTCTCTCCCCTCCAGCAAGTGCATATGCCCTATAGCAAAACAAACAAACAAAATTATTTGCTAATATATACAATTTAATAGATTTTTGTATTAAGAAAAAATAAAACCTGGTTTTCCAACTTCTTTAAAAATCTGAATATCAGGTAAGGCCTGCACTAATTCACGGCCCCAGCTGGCTTAGGCTTGGTAGGTACTTGCCCCTTAAAAGGATTCAGGCCTCTAGTTCACCTGGTTTACTTCACCTGTGGTACTTCGAGGTGCTGTAGGGCTTTGAATTTGCTTCTCGTAGGCTCGATCATCTAAAAGGCTCGAACACGAAATCATGACTTGTTATTTTAGATGTGACTCGTTCGAAAGTGGTTAAGGCTTACGCCTATTCCTTTTACTCCTGCACAAAGAATGGCCACTAGGCATGCTTTCCTACATGCAAAGGGCAGTTACATATAAAGCGGGGAATTTTGCACCGCTTACCTGACCAAATCGGGCATACAAAGAAAATCCTGAAATGAAGATGTAAACATGAGATTTGCGATTTGAATTATTCAGGGGTAATTGCCTTCATTTTCCACCTCACTATTTCCCTTTCGCTTTCCTTCATAGACGTAATCTTCAGAACTTTCCTCTGTCAAAGGCCATAGACATAATTCCCCTGCTTCTTCCCCCCCACCTTTTTCTTTTTAACTCATTTGCACTCTTGGTAGCAATTGTTGGCACTCAGCAGGGGAGTAATTGCTGGGGAATTAACCTCTGACATTTTTCTAAAAATAGCCCTAATAAATCCAATCATAGGTAATTTACCTGTCCGTGTTCCTCTGGGGGTAACCAGTGTGGAAGAAAGACTTGGCAGGCTGGCATTCCTTCTGCAATTATCTGCGATCCTAGTTCCTGGCACCTGTGTGTTTTTGCCACTTAGGAAGACAAAGTACAATTTGCCCTCTCCCCTCTGACCTCATGACCCTGTTTTCTCAGCACCTTTCTCTTGGGTTTGGAATAAGGCCTTGCTGTTCCAGAAGGATGTGCTGGGCTCACCAAAGCCTAAAGAGCTCGGGTGGAGCTGGAGTATTTGTGGGGCCCTTCCTTGGATTTCTGACCACCAGCACTGTCCCAATAATTTCTTTGTGTTCTGTTTCTCGACTTTGGGTATCTGAGCTTCCGGTATCCTAACCTGGTCCTCAGCCCTAGATTGAATTGCTGCAACTGAAACCTGTCTGAAGTTTCTAGGTGTAGAAGATGGGGTGGGGGCGGGGGAGGGACTTTAGACAAAAGCCACAAGCCAGTGGGTGAAGGGTCTATGGGTGGTAGCAATTATCTAAGAGAAAATTCCATTTCCCCGAACCATGGAGAGATGCAGTTTCTCTTCCCCAAAACAAAAGGGTCGGAGCATGCTTCCCCTTTTGTTCACCCCAGATATTTCCAGAGACCACAGTACAATGTTGGCATCTAGGAAATTTACTTTCCACACGCCACTTCTAGTGGCACTTAAAATACAGAACATAAAATCCTTGTAAATTCCACTGCAGAGACAAAGCTCTAAGCCCTTAAATGCACAGAAAAGTATGTCTATTATCTATCCTTTTAAAGTAAGTGTGCAGTTACTTAAATTGCCTTTGTCTTTTTCTTTGCAGCTGACATTATCTCTACGGTAGAATTCAACCACACGGGAGAATTACTAGCGACAGGGGACAAGGGGGGTCGGGTTGTAATATTTCAACGAGAGCAGGAGGTAAGTGGCAGTGAATGCAAAATGCCCACACTTGTCTTCTTAAAGCAGACCTCCGACTGTTCCTTAATCCTCATGTGTCGCCCTTAACCTTGCTGCTTTGCTTACAAACTAAAAACTGCCAAAAAGTCATTAACATCAACAGTTCTGCATTCAGACTCATAAAAGCATCTTAAAAAGAAAGCTTTCTCTGGCCACAGCCTTATCTTTCCAAGCCTGGTACTGAGCATTCAAAACCTTTTCTCTTCTCTGACCTGCCAGATTCCAAGGGTGCTCTTTGAGCGGGACTCCCCTTTTTTTTTTTTTTCAGTGGAATTTGTCCTAGAGCTGTTGAAATGCAGTCTCTCTTCACTTCAGGTGCTGCCAGAATAGGTGGGAGGAAAAAAAATTGCTTTCTTTGCCAACAAATGTAAAGAGGCCAACTGGGGTCAGTTGGGAAGAAAATGATAGTTCACCCAACCAAAGGGCGTGAAAGCCCACGAACTGACATCTGAACAAACCGCACTCCACACACGTTGGAGTAGGTGACACGAAGGTCCCGGGAGCTGAGTCGTCCATGCAACACTATTTCTGAGCAGGAATTCTAACTTCCAGTGCATTTCAAAAAGCCCATTTCTTCCTGAGACGTGTTCCGCTAGGAATCGTTTCTCTTTTTCATATAAATTGAGTTTTGGGGGTGTCTGCTTCTATTCTGACAGAATGGAATTATGGTCCAATGTGATTCCCTTGGCCTCCCCTGGCAAGGCCTTAGAGCTTCCAGCAGGTCAGTCTGTGTTCTAGTAACGCCCCCATCTGCCACAGCCTGCCTCCGAGATTCACTCAGAAGCATCCAGGGGCAAAGGGGGAGGCCCAGTGTAACGGGAAGGTTTCATAAGAGACTTCCCTAGCAATTTAGAGCCTGCTTTGTGCCTCCAAGCCATTTGGGTTACACCTCCCCTCCAAAAAGGAAAGCCTCATTTAGAGGTGATATATTTGATAATTGTACATTATTTGCAATTAATTTCTATAAGGGCATCATCATCCCTGGGGGTTTTATATAAATTCAAGTCCTCAGCATTAAATCAGGCACCCAGCCTATTCCATTGGCCCTGGAAACATGAAAATGTGGTTGGCAAGTAGGAACTAATAGCTCTTCGTGACCTGGAATTTTTCCTGCTTTTCCAGAGCTGTCTGGTGCTAATTGGTCTGGCACATACTACACACACTTGACAGTCTGATTTGGATGGTAGCAAATCAACACTCTTAGAAATTTATTGTTAAGGTGGACTGGCTGTTTCGCTGGAAATAAGCAGAAGAGTAGCAAGTCTGTTAGTATTTAAAGTCCTTTGAAAACTGATTCGGAAACCTTTTCCTCCAATTTAAAAAAAAAAAAAAAAAATCCAATTAGGCTCCCAGTGATGATAAAGAGAAACCAGAGGAGCTGTTTAGCATAAATTACCCAAGGCAATATGTTGCCAGTAATATTCCGCTCCACATTTTCCGGTGGCTTTTTATAGATTTCACCTATTTTCATTTACTGACCTATAATATTGGGGAAGTCCAATTCAGTGGTGGGAGGATGGGGGACACATTTTCCAAGGCCTGATGGTTTTGTTCATTAAAAAAAAAAAAAAGTCAATGAGGATAAAGAATATGCAGTCAAGTGTTTAGCTTTGCGATGAAACTTGGGAAACAAAACCTGAGATGCTGGACCTCATCTAGAGTAGGTCTGCTCTTGACTTCCAGGGGTGACCTCTGTGAGTGAGTGTTGAGGAGCCACAGTCCCCAGGAGATTGCTCCCTGGAACGTCAGCGCCACTAAAAACATCTCCTCCTGGGGTGCAGCACTGTCTCCCGCTGGTAACTCAAGCTAAGGGTCTGAATAGCCAGTATCCACCTAGCAATATACATTTTTTAATAGAGCCTTGTATGAAAAATCAAGCTTTATAACAAATATTGGATAAGACTCAGATTTGATTTTTGAACACAGTTTTCCAAAGCCTGAAAGTGTTGGTGACATGGTCCTGAAATATAGGAACTAAAACTCCCCTCCCTCTTTCCCCTTTTTTCTGCCCCCTCTTTTTTCCCTCTCCGCATTTGCTCTTTCTCTTGCCCCTTTTTCAGACCCTGGCCCCTGAGTTTCTCCCATCGTTTATGGAGTTCCTGTTCGTTCTTTGCATAATCAGTATGAGAGAAACGCCAGAGGTCAAGTGCCATTATTCACTGAATGATGCAGGCGGCATCTCCAAGCTCCTGTTTTGTCATAGGTCCTGGGAGGAAGAAGTGGGGAAGTGAAAAACCTGATGCCCAAATCTGACACTTAGCAGTATGGGACCTCAGGGAAGTCATTTAATATTTCCAAGTCTCCTCGGTCCTTTCCCCTGTCCTGCCTCTTTCTCTAGACTCTGTGAGGATCTCGTGAGATTATTAAAGGCCAAAGTCATGGATGCGACAGCTTTATATTTTTTGTAAAGAACTGATAAAATGCAACCATTGGGAGGAAGAAAGAAAATATGAGAACTTCTATTTATATCGCTTTAAAGTCATCCTATCTTAACTTCTATTTTTATGTATATGTTATATGTGCCATCTATTAGTACAGAAGTTTATTTAGAAAATTTATACATATATGTGTATGTATTAGAGCTGCCAGTATTAACCAACATGTATGTGCAATCAAAAGCTTGGGAGGCCACTGAGCCACGTTAGAACCTGTGGCTTTCGTGGTTCTGCCCTCACCCTCTCTGACAAGGTCTACCCATCCCACTGCTAATGGTGCTGCAGAAAAAAATAAAATAAAAATGGATTGGTGAGTTTGCAGTTGGTTTACATGATGTAGGCTCTTGATCATTTCTTCCCTTCCTACAGAGTAAAAATCAGGTTCATCGCAGAGGTGAATACAATGTTTACAGCACATTCCAGAGCCATGAACCCGAGTTCGATTACCTGAAGAGTTTAGAAATAGAAGAAAAAATCAATAAAATAAGATGGCTCCCTCAGCAGAATGCAGCTTACTTTCTTCTGTCTACTAATGGTAAGTGGAAGTGACTTCTCCCTGTCTGTCCTTTCAGAGATACGGTCACCCAACTATTTATTTCAGTCTTTCTCGGCCTCAGTTTTTCTTTGTACTTTGTTGACTATTGAAAAACTTACCAACCACTTTTACAAGAGTCCTAGCAGAAGGCCTGGCACACGCAGAGTAAGCTCTCAATAAACAATAACTGTTCTTTTTAAAAATAACAAATTTATGACTCAACTACATGAGACCTGTTATCTACAGTTTTCAACTAATGCAGATTATTTGCAGGTGTTTTGGGAATGTGACTTCCTGTCTTTTCAGATTCACTGAATGTTATTCTGGGGAACATATTTCAGGAAACTCAATGTGCTGTCTCTGTGTTTGGCATTTTTGAATAGAAGTTATTAATCCCCAAATACATTTTAGGGTCTGTAAAACAGATGGCTGTGTGTCTCTCTGAGAAAATCAAGTTCTAAACCAAGAACACAAGTCAAAAAGATAGAACTATATCAAAGAAATGATTTCTTTCTCTGTTTCCCTCTATACTCTTATACCATTTGTTGGTTTAGGAGTTGATATAAATGGAGGTTAGGGTTGACTGGAAAACTTATGTAAATACTCGGTCAGTATTTCTACAGTGGAATTACCTACACTCCAGGTTCTTAAACCCTCGCTTAAAGAAGCCATCTATGTCCAAAACAGTGCAGAATAAAGCCATATATTGAAAGAATACTTGAATAGCATAACAAGAGGATTAATATGTAAAAACTAAATGACCTTTCTCAAGCAAATAAGATGGAGAATAATTCATTTTATCTTATGTATGTTTTAGAAATATACATTTAAATATAAACCAAGAAACAAGAGGTTTGCTTTTTATCTACACCTGGCATTTAAAAAAGAAAGGGAGATGTTCAGATGTCAAGTGAAAACAAAATGCAGATGACGTATATAATTTGATCAAACATATATTAATACTTTTGAAGACCAAATGGAAACATACTGAAAGGTTCATCATGATTTTTTTATGCATTACAAGTGATTTATAAATTTATTGCTTTTATAGTTTCAATTTTCTAAGTTTTTATTGGGTTTTTCTATTGCAAAAATGTGTCACGACTTTCCCGACAACCTATTCCAATGAGTATTATATTTAATCTTAGGGGAAAAACGGGAGGAGCAGTTTTTGATGCATATGAGCATTTGAGCCCCAATCCCTCAAATATAAAACCAGTGTACAAATCTAAAAAAAATAACTAGTGAAGGGTTATCTAAGTACATCTCATCTCAACATGGCCAGAACTCTGTTCATCTGTTTTTCCAGATTCCAAGCAATTTATTCCTTCTCATAGCTATACTTGGTGAGTTTACTTTTTTGTCACCCTATTTCTAAGACACATGAATTTGTCTTAATTTCCTCCTTTTTTAAATTTTGCTGTTTGTTTCACGTAAAAGCTCTGCAAATTCAACACTAACTCAAAAGGGACTTCTGAAGATTTTGACTTAATTATTTCAAGAGGAGGAAAAGTGTGATTATTTTTCATAGCTACTTACTTGATGGTATGAAATTTATCCTATTGATTATTGTAATAAAATTCAAGGACTTATTAAGTACTTTGTAGGGGGAATGGGAAAGAAATCAGTGAAATGCAATGAAGATTAATTATATAGCATAATGTTCTGTTAATTGAGTTTTTAAATAGTTTTTTGATTAACAAGGATATTATCTTCCCATTTGGGATGCTATTTCACATGCCAACAGCATCTCAAAATGATTCTTAAAAGAAAAATTCCCATGTTCTTATGTGATTTTCTTTTTTATACTAATATTGAGGTTGAGAATCCCCCTTAGGCCAAATAGGTTAACATGCAAAAATTAATGGAAGACAATTGGAATTACTGTACAAAGAGAAAATGAAGATAGATGATAAGATTGTGTTTAAAAGCTGCCACAAGTGATGATAAACTACTCAGGACCAGCCAAAAGAAAGAGAAAGTCATCACTCACAGTACCAGCCACATGTTTCTTAGACTTTTTATCCATGAAGCTTCAAGATATTGAGTCAAGAAAAATCATGTGATAATAAAGTCAAAAATGACTCCAGGCAACCCAACCATGGGGAATTGGATTGAATTCACCATCAATTATCTTTTAAAAATGTGCTTATCTCATTATAGTTGGGTACATTTTTTACTTTCGGCTAGAATATATTTTTCCTACCTTATCATTTTTAATGACAAAACCTCCATTCAGTGGTGAATCTAGATTTTGAAATTATTTGCCATATGAGAACACATCTTTACTTAGATTTCTCACTTTGCTTTTACACTTATGGTGAGAGAAGGTATACGGAATTTGTTTTTCTTGCTGTGAAAGTAGTACATGTTCAGTGTAAAACAATTTTTTAAATACAGAAAAGGCACAAGGAAGACAATAAATGTTTTTATTTAGAGAGAACCACTGTTGATATCTTCCAAAGGTAAAAATCAGAGGCATGGAGAAATCTGTTTGGTTCTGAACAGAGTTGTGAAATATTCTACAAACAGATTTTTTAATTTAATAATGTAACACTTAGGGGACCAGCAGGTGGCATGGTGGTTAAGGTGTTGGACTCTTCCCACATGGCCCACCATGGTTTAAGTCCCGGACCTGGTGACTTGCTTTCTCACTTTCCCTCTCTCTCTCTCTCTCTGTCTCTCTAATGGTCGAATTAAAATAAGTGAATGAATAAATAAAATTGCATGAGATAATTTTAAAAAATAATGTAACACTTAATAATAGAAATGTCTTTTTACTTATTAAATAGTCTTCTCAAACACCATAACATTTCAGTGACTACAGAGTATTCCCCTGTTTGGCTCTTTTACAACTTAGTAGTAAGTCTCCCACTGTTAGACCTTTAGTTGTTAACAAATTCTCACTATTATAAATTATAGATGATTATAATATATACTGAATTTCTATAAATTTATTTATAGGGATAGATGTTGGAATAGATATATGATTAGGTAAAATGTATATTATAAGTCATGTAGTATACATTTACTAAAAACAGTTATATAATTATATATATATATATATATATACGAAAATATTAATATATACAAATTTTTATAAGTTGTTTCACAAAATTGAGGGAAACTTTTTTCACCTTTATTATTTTCGTTTTCTAATTATATGTACCATTTGTATAATTAAAAGAAAAAAAATGCAGTGAAAAAATACAAAATCTATTTATTTAATAATATAGGCTTGTATATACCAAAAAACATGCATAGAGAAAATATTCTAAGGGTTCATACAAAATGTTGACAATGATTGTCTCTGATTGGAGGGATTATTGGTGATTTTCTTCTTTATGTTTGACCCATGATTTCGCTGCTTCTCTGTATAGCAATTTATCATTCATGATAAGGAAAGTGTAAGATCAAAATTGCCTTGCAAATGAGATGGGATACATTACTAAGCCAAGCAACAGAAAGTATTTCTTGTTAAAAGCCACTGCTGATCAGGAGCTAATCAAGGGACTATAGAAACACAGCCCATACTTCATTTTCTCACCCTAAAAAGAAGTTCAGCGTGCAGAAGATCTCCAGAGAGGGTGGCACCAGAGACGCGTTGGCATATAGAAAGAAGTTCTAAATTCAACCGGCTGCTGGAAAGGCTCTTTTGCCTTTTGCCCCAGCGCGTGTCAGGGCAGTGCACAGTTCAGAGTGCACAGATTATATAGCCTTGCCCGACGTGCCCAGCCCGAGGAATGCCCAGATAGGAGAAATGGGGCCTCTTGTCTGTCAAAGCAGCCACTTCGCTGCCAAAAGCTCGCTTCATATTGGGGTGCATTCAAGACCTCAGAGGACGAGGCGTTTGTTTCTGACAGCTTCAAGGGGAGCAGAACTGTGATCCACATCCCTATTTCATAAGATCTCCCCAAAATGCAGGAATTGGGAGATGGTAGCGCAGAGCCAGGTGAGGAAAAAGGGAGGAGCAAGATAAGGGGCAAAAGACAACAGAAACCCTAGTAAACCCCAGGTAAACAGGCAGCTTTACTTTCCTGGGGTGTTACAGAAAAGCAGTCACATATTGACGTCACAGTGGAGCAAAGCTAAAGCTTTCAGAGCAACCTGTTGCTATTGTAGAAGAGTTGCCTGATTGGCTGATTTTGATGACAGCTGCCGTTCCTGGGCCATTGTTGTTGTTCTTTTAAAGAGATTTTTGCTATAGGACACATGCACTTGTCCAGAGAGACAGAAGGAGAGTAATCACCCCTGAGGGTGGATGGCCACACCACAATCCCTTCCTCTCCATTCTCCTCTCAGGATTTTGGGTACACTCACACATGCCCCTAGCTTGAGTTTTAAGCTTCTGAGTCCAGAACTCAAACCATGGTCAACCATGTGGGAGTCAAGCATTGTACTCATTACGCCATCTGCTGGTCCCTCCCGGCCATTATTAGAAGTCTGTGATCACTTAAACTCTTTATTCGCTGTGATTCTTTTCATCCTACTAAGAACCCATGAGGAGGAAACCATTTTCCCCAGCTTATAGATAAAGAAACTGAGGCAGGGACTGGCAGGTTGTCTGGTGGTTAGGGTTCTGGACTCCCACATGGCCCACTGTGGTTTGAGTCTCAGACCTGGCAGCTTGTTTTCTCTCCGTTTCTGTCAAGTCAAATTAAATAATTAATTGATTGATTCTTTATAAAATATAGAAACTGAGCCAATGTCTCCCATTATTTGGCCTTTAGTCGTGAATAAATTCTCACTATTATAAATTATAGGTAATATATGCTGTATATAAATGTATTTATAGGGGTAGATGTTGAGACAGATTTATGATTATGGAAAATGTATAAGTTGTATGATGGATATTGTGTTTACTAAAAACAGTTACATAATTACATATACAGATGTCAGTACCTTTCCTCGGAAGGTTGAAATAATGAGGGACATACTAAAAAATGTTTCATTATTTATCTGGGATTCAAATTTAGCTGGGAATTCTATACTTTTTTTCCTGCTGTGTCCTGCAATTCTTTTGTCACTCAAGTAATAGTTATGTGCCTACCACATGGGGAGCTCACTCCTTGGTCACATGACTAGCAGGACGTGGTATGGGGATTGGGCCCAGGCTGTCTGATTCCCAAGCCTACCTTGCTCAGGACAGAGGAAAATACAAATAACACAACCCAGTCCCAGCCTTCCAGAAGAGAAGTTAAAATTAGTATAAATAACGAAGGCAGGGTCTGAAAAGGAAGGCCTACGAAGCAGACAGCCTGCAGACATGATTCATTTAGCCCCAACATGTTTCTTTAAGAAGTGGAATTGAAAGCTGCAGGTGGGGCATGCCATTTCCAGCTCCCAGAGCCCCTGGCCCCTTTCACCTATTCTCCCGGCCTGTCTGAGCCCGGTAGGCATTGGAGTTTCTAATGCTGTGGAGAATGACAGGTGTCCTCAGTGATGACTGTGCTGGGACAGTATAGAGGCAAGAAAGATCATTTCCACCTGGGGAGTCCCAGGAGCCAGCAGGGGAAAGCAACATTTTCATTAGTTTCCTTATCATTTTATTTCCCTGGGTATTGCTTAAAATACGTTGTATAGGGGCCAGCAGGTCACATAGTGATTAAGGTGTTGGACTACCACCTAGTCAACCATGGTTCAAATCCCAGACCCAGCAACTTGAAATTCATGCTGGATGCGTGTGTGTACATGCCCAAAATCATGAGAGGAAGATGAAGGAGAAGAGAATGCAGCATGACCATCCCCCCTTGGGGTAGGGGAGGGTCATTTCTTGCTCTCTGTCTCTCTGGTAAGTACACACGCCCTATAGCAAAAATATCTTTAAAAATATATATGTCCAGTATACATTGTAGATGAGATTTGTCCACTCAACTAACTGATTTATTTAACTGATTTATTGAACATCTATGTCCCAGACACTGTTCTAGGTGTTGGAGATATAGTGATAAACAATACAGAAGCTCTACCTCTGACTTCATATTCCACTGAGGGAGACAGATAATTAATAAATCAAATATCTAACCAGCCAGTTTTCAAGTAGTGAAAGTACTAAGGAAACAAAGCAGACAAAGGGGATAGAGGATGGCGGTGAAGATGGCATTTTTGTGTAAGTCTTATATATGCCACTCTGAGGCTGGGACAGGAACGGAAAGAGTAAAGAGAAGGAGTGCTGAGGACAGCAGGTGCGATGGTGACTAGCTGGGCTCCCACATAGCTGACCATGGTTCAAGTCCCAGACCCAGTGGCCTGAAAAATCACTCCGGGTGTGTATACGCTTGTGCCCAAAATCCCAAGAGAAGACTGAAGGAAAGGAGATTGCAACATGGCCATCCCCCTGGGGAGGGGGCAGTGATTTCTCACTTTTCCTTTCTCTGTTTCTCTCTGGTGAGCACATGTGCCCTTTGGTAAAAATTAAAAAAAAAAAAAAAAAAAAGTGAAAGAGTGACTCACGTGACGAAGACAGTAAAGGGCTTTCCTGGCAGAAGGCATGGCAAATGCAGAGGCCCTGAGGCAGGAGCACCGTGAGTCGGGAGTGGGAGGGGTGGGATGGTGAGATGAGAAAGGCGGAGGAAGTGGAGTGTCAGTCATGAAGTGCCTTTGAGCACATGGACAGGACCATGTTTAAGGGGGTAGGATGCCAAGTTAGAGATGATTAATAGTATCTACTTCCCAGAGTTGTCATGAGTTTATTGAATGGAGCAGATTAATGTAGAAACTATAGATTTAACAGCCCATGGTCAAGGAAAACCATTTGTCCCAACACAATACACATTTTATTTTAAAATAGCTCTGTCTTGGGACCAGCAGTTAGCATAATGGCTATGTTGCTGGACTCCCATGTAGTCAACCATGGTTCAAGTCCTGGACCTGGTGGCTTAAACTCATGCCGGACACGTGTGCATGCGTGCCCAAGATCCCAAGAGGAGAATGGAGGAGAAGGGATTGCAATGTGGCCAGGCCGAGTGATTTCTCTCTTTCTGTCTCTGTCTCTGTCTGTCTAGCGAGTGCACGTGTCCTATAGCAAAAACCTCTCCAAAAGAAAAAAATATATATATGTAGCTCTGTCTACCAATGGCCTGAGATTTAGGTATGCAGCCCTTCCCCTGAGCCTGCTTCTGCAACAGGGCTTTCCACCATTACCATCACCTCGCCCGTCCTGGTCCACAAAATGCCTTCACGAGTTTTCTTTTCACTCTAATTCTGATGACTTCTGGTTGTCTTCCACAGATAAAACTGTGAAGTTGTGGAAAGTCAGCGAGCGTGATAAGAGACCAGAAGGCTACAATCTGAAGGATGAGGAGGGGCGGCTCCGGGATCCTGCCACCATCACAACCCTGCGGGTGAGTGTGAGCAGCTACTCTGGCCATGTTTTTCAACTTCCTTGGCCACTGGGGTTGGGAAAGTTCTCCTAAGGTTGGTCACATGCTTGCTGTTGCTTAGGTTGCAATTATAATGTGAGAGTGAGGTGGCTTCGGCAGGGGCTCAACCCACCCCAGTCTCTGGTAGAAGATGGGGGAGTGGAGAAGATGCCAAGATCTAATGACTACACATTCTTGCTTTTTCTTTCTTTTGCCCCCAATGGACTTGCCATATGTTACCATCTGTCCACATTATCGAAAACATTGAGCACCTTGTATATTCAAGACCCAGGCATGAGAATACCCCGGTGAGAAGTTGTAGTCTTGTGATACAGAACTCACACTTCAAAATCTAACAGGCTAACTGGGACCAGCAGTTAGCATAATGGCTATGTCGCTGGACCTCCCACGTAGTCTACCACGGTTTATGTCCCAGACCCGATGACTTAAACTCATGCCGGGCGCGTGTGCGTGCGTGCCCAAGATCCCGAGAGGAGAATGGAGGAGAAGGGATTGCAGTGTGGCTATCCCCCCTGAGGGTGATTTCTCGCTTTCTATCTCTCTGTCTCTCTCTCTCTGTCTGTCTGGCGAGCGCATGCGCCCTATAGCAAAAACCTCTCCAAAAAAAAGAAAAAAAAAAATCTAACAGGCTAGGGTTCCAATTGTGCCACTTAGTAGAATTTCACATAGTCAACGTAACCCGTTTGAGCTTTAGGTCATTCAAGTTACTTTTACTTTCTCCATCTGAAAGTAGTGAAATTAATGCTTGAACCACTCATGGACTTGAGAGGGTTCAATGCCAAAAGGATGAAAAGTCCTTCCTTTGTGACTGGTACTCAGCGTATGCTCTCTATTCTTCATCTCGGTAATTGTCTCTCTACCCTCTAGAAATGCATCATCTCATA